CTTTTTTTTTTTTTTGCTATACGTCACACATAACAAGTGGCGATCTGGAAAACCTTTAAAGAAAAATAAACTTCCTATTCGGAGGACATATTTTTTTGCTATCCGTCGTACGTAATAGTGGACGACGATTAAATTCTAAAAAAAAAAAAAAAAAAAAAGAAGAAAATTTTCCTTTTCTTGATATCAAATTTCACTGACAACAAATGAATTTTTTTTTGCGAGCACAGCCTACAGAATATCAGGTTGCACAAAAAAATACGTTAACTTGGAAGATTTTAAGTCAATCATTATGGAACTTATCAAAATCCAGTTTGAACAACAACAAAGTTACGAACAAAAACATCTGGAAATGCAAGAATTATGGATACGTGCAATGGCAAATAAGGAGCAAAAGCCCGAGAATGAATCAGTTCTCTTTCAAGACGCTATTTGGAGTAATATCGAAGATTTCAAGTACGCACCGAACGAAGATAAAACCTTTGCAAATTACTTCCGAAGGTATGAAGATCTATATGATTTTGGCTGCAAAGATTGGTCAGACGCACGTAAAGTACGCCTTTTATTAAGAAAATTAGGCACAGGCGAATAAATATACCAAATTCGTTGATTATATCCTTCCCAGAAAAACAAGCGAGTTAACGTTCAAAGAATCTATAAAATTGCTAACGGAACTTTTCAGCTATAATATAGCTGAAAAGTATATATTTTCATTTTCAGAAAAGATGGAAATGCATGAACCTTGCAAAAAAGGATAGCGAAGATTACGTAACTTTTGCATCCATTGTTAATAAATATTGTGACGACTTCAAATTATCGGAACTCAGCGCTGACAACGTCAAATGCTTAATTTACGTCCAAGGACTGGTTTCAACCAAAGACGCAGAAATGAGACGTAGAATACTTACTAAATTGAACAAGATCTGACACTTCAAAACTAGCCGAAGACAGCCAGAGATGCGTCAGCGTAAAAAAAGACTCTAAAGAACAAGCTGGCATAGCATACATACGCAAAGTACGAAAGCAAACAAATTTTCCCTCCTCAGAAACAAACCGAACTGATTTTCCCGCCTCAAGAACAGGTAAAACAAAATTTTCTAATTATAATCAACATAAAAAGAAACTACCACCAAGTCCATGCTATCGTTGTGGGTCTTGGCATTGGGTTAAAGACTGTACATATCGTGCTAAAACTTGTCTATCATGTAAAAAAATTGGTCACAAAAGTTCTCACTGTTGGTAAAGAAAAGAAAGCAGAATAAGAATTACGAGGACCGACCAAACAGATGAGACTTATATAAGAAAATATGTACAAAATGCAAAACAGAAAAGTTAGGTTACAGCTGGATTCTGGCTCAGACTTAACTATCATAAATCTACAAACATGGAGAAAACTGAACAAACCTGTCATGTTAAAAACGGATAAAATTGCGAGATCAGTTACGGGGAGAAAGATAAAATTCGAGGGTGAAATAATCACAAACGTAACATTTAACGGAATGACGAAAAAACTAAAAATGTACGTCTTAAGAAATACCGAAAACCTGTTCGGGACAGACTGGATGCAAAAATTTGAATTCCAGTCGATGAAGAAAGTTCAAAACTACTATGCATAAACAAGAGATTGTACAGATACCAAAGACTACCATTTGGAATTAAAGTAGCACCGGCTATTTTACAGCAAACAATGGATACGATGCTGGCAGGACTAGAATACACAATAGCATATCTGGATGACATATTGATTAATAGCGAAAGCGTTGAACAACACTGGCAACATGTACAAGAAATGTTTAAGAGAATTCAAAGCTACGGATTCAAAGTGAAAGAAAATAAGTGTGATTTTTTCATGAAGGAAATTAAATATCTTGGCCATATAATAGACCAAGAAGGTAGACGTCCAGACCCTGAAAGGTCTACAGCAATAAAAAACAAAAGATGCCAGTTCCTAAGAACATAACAGAACTACAAAATTGTCTTTGATTAGTGAATTACTACCAGGAATTCATACCTCAAATGCATAAACTTCGCGCACCATTGAACAAACTGCTAAAGAAAGAAAAATTCTAGCAGTGGTCAGATCAATGCCAGAAAACATTTGAAAAAACAATCAAAACATTAACACCGGATTTATTTTTGGCGCACTATGATCCTAAACTAGAGATTATTGTAGCAAGCGATCCGAGCGCGTACTGTGCCGGAACGTGTATATTACATAAAATCCTAGATGGGACAATAAAACCTATCGCACATGCTTCTTGAACCATACTACCAGCGGAGAAAAACTATTCACAAATTGAGAAGGAAGCTCTAGCAATTATCTTCGCAGTAACAAGATTCCATAGATACGTCGATGGTAGACACTTTACTCTGCAGACGGATCACAAACCATTAATAAAAATTCTTGGTTCAAAAAAGATCTAGCGGTGTACACGACAAATAGACTACTTAGATGGGGAACGATTCTTCTGAACTATAATTTCAGATTGGAATATTTACTAACGAAAAGAATCGGGCACGCGGGTGGGCTGTCGAGACTTATACCAACAAAGACAGAGCCATTGGAAGATACGGTAATCGCAGCCCTTAGAAATGAAGAAGACACAAGAACAGTACTATGCTGTACAGTCAGAAACCTCCCAGTCACATTGCAAGACATAAAAAATGAAGCCAAAAATGACGAATTTATTAATGAAACAAAAGCAAAAATAGCAGAAAAAATAAGAAAATTTCGGACAGCTTTTCTCGATGTGATAATGTGCTACTTTACAACGAAAGGGTTGTAATCCCCAAAACATTACAAAAACGGATACTAAAGGATTTCCACAGAGGACACCCGGGTAAAAATAGAATGAAGTCGCTAATGCGAAGCTATGTATATTGGAAGAATATGGACCAGGATATTTCTCAAACGGTGGAAATGTGCAAGGGTTGTAATTTAGCAGCTAAAGCACCGCCAAAAATACATAAGCCTGGGCCTGAAACTGATCGTCTATGGTCAAGAAGACACGCAGATTATGCAGGACCAATTGACGGGTTTTAGTATTTAATCATAGTTGATAGCTACAGTAAATAGCCGGAGGTGTTTCGGTGCAAAAGTCCTAATACAGAAACGACCATAAATTTCCTCCACGAGCTATTCGCTCGGTTTGGCGTAGTGGACTGTTTAGTAACAGATAACGGAACGCAATTCGCGTCAGCAGATTTCCAAGGGTTTTGCGAAATCTATCAAGTAAAACATATAAAATCGCCGCCTTACTATCCAAGATCAAATGGACAAGCGGAGAGTTTCGTGGATACTCTCAAAAAAGCATTACGAAAAGCGCACAATGTGCCAACGGAGAAAGCATTACAGCAATTCCTACAGGTATATAGAATAACGCCAAATAATGCAACACCATCAACATTATCACCAGCAGATATCATGTTTGCTAGGAAAATCAGATCAGCGTTCGATAAATTATTACCAAGTAAATCAAAACAAGTAACACAGTCCTACACACCAAAAAGAAAATTCCTCCCAGGGAAAAAAGTTTTTTTTAAGGCATACAAAAATAATACTTCTTGCTGGGAATAAGGGATAAGTGAGAAAAGAATTGGCAAATATGATGTACATAGTTCAAGGAAAAAAATTCTCACACAGAAGACACGTAAACCAAATAAGGAAGAGACCGTTACAGGTTGCTAACGGTCCCCCTCAAGATGAGGTATTGGACACGATTTTTAGACACATTCGATATAACAAGACCGCAAATAATGCCAGAACTAAGAAAATCGTCTAGAAAAAGGAAAATTTACTGAACATTTGGAAATAGATCCAAAGAAAAAAAGATATTAAAAAACGCCTGCTACGCAAAATTTTCGGAAGTGGGGTTATATGGGACCTTACCCATAATAACATAATGGACTATTTCATACGTAATAAATACTGCACCTCAAGACGAAGCAGCGAGTTCAGTCTGAAGTCCGTCAGTCAGTCAGAGCGAGCGAGCGAGTCAGTCAGTCGAGTGAGAGGCAGTCCGAAACAGAGTCACGTTTCAGACAATTACTACAAGACATTGGAATAGTGATATTGGTCGAGACTACATTCTTCTCCCTACTAAACCTGATTCGTTCGTACTAACACTTTCTACTTCTCTGTATATATTGATGTTTGCAATATATCTGTGTTATTCCACATCCGTGTTCGAGTTCTTCTTTATTGGTTCTACCTTGGACTATCACCGTGGTACAAGGACCGGACCATAACAGTAATAATAGACCTGCCTAACGCTTTTACACCGATCCAATTTTTAAATTTATGTTTATTTTTATAAAAGGTTTCGCACATCGAGAAATCAGACAGAAATCGGGTTTTTGCTAACAATACGATTTCCATTGAAAAATACCCCATCTGCAAAAACATCAGTCGGTGAGTAATTTCCATTTTTCTGTATACACATCGGCTCATTGATGAAGGGCACAGGCGTGTCCGAAAATCCCGACCTTAAAACCTTTCTCTCCGTGCTTCATTTCTGTCATATGGTTAATAATTAATATTTTTAAATGTCCAACGTATTGATTATATTGGTAGCCTTTCGCTTATCCTTGTTTTATTAATTAACACACATACACACAAACACGCACACACACACACACACACACACATATATATATATATATATATATATATATATATATATATATATATATATATATATATATATATATGACGATATTAACAAGTCTTTGACGTTCTTCAAATTCATACTTCTAAAATATCGTAACTTAAGCAGATGCAAGCCGACGAAGTATAAGACACACACATCCACAAAAGGTACAAATATAGAAACTGCAATGTGCTTCTTGTTTGCATATTTTGCGAATGTATTTGTAAAGGATAAAATCTATATCGAAGTGTTCGCTTAGTTTGTATGAAAAATAACAGTGAGAAAAAGTGTGATGTTGAAGCGGTGTGTGAAGAAAAATAAGGGAAGAGTAGAGCGCTGAGATGGGTTCAGTTGATGCTCGTTGGCAACATTAGTTTCGCCGCAGGGTTACAAAAGTGGTTAGATTAGCGTGCAGGCCTTAGATTGACCAAGGTCAACAAGTGGCCGACACGCCAATTTGGGCCCACTCCCGCCAGCACAGTTCTGTGTGCCAACGATTTTCAGCTTCGTTTCGCGTCGTGTTTCCTCCCCGCATCTCAATATTGGCGTTCTCATTCATCGAATCATTTCTCTTTTCTTTTTTTCTTTTTACCGCACTTTAGCTTTTCCCTCGCTTACTTATGTGAATTATCTTTACCATTTTCTTTTTAAATATGCCTTCACTTGGCTCTTTCTTATCGCTGTTTTCTCTTCCATAAAACTTCTTTCTTTCATGTATAGTTTTTTTTTCGATTTTGTGATTTTATTTGTTCTCATTCGTCATCTTTTCTTTATTTATCATTGCCTGTCTTTTTCATTTATTCTCCTCTCACTTGCTTTAGATTCATGTGAATTTCTCATTCATAATATTTTCTTTAGCTTTTCATCTTTTTGGTGTATTCCTTCAGTTTGCATTTAGTTTTCACTTTACTTCTCCCTTTATTCTCTTTATTGCTGCATCCTCTCTTTTTCTCTCTGTTTTTCTCGCCCTCTCCCTTTTTCTTTATGCGCACTTTGGCTTTTTTTCCTTTCTTCTCAATTTCTTTTTGTTTTCATCCTTATTTACTATTTTTATTTCCATTATGTGTATTCCATTCTTTTGCGCTTTCCCCATTCCTCTTTCTCTCTCTCTCTCTCTCTCTCTCTCGTTTTCTTTCATTCATAAAATCTCTCTGTATTTCTCTTTCCTTCATTCAACAAATCTGTCTGTCTGTCTCTATCTATCTATCTATCTATCTGAAAATCCGAAGCTTATTTTTTCTTTCGCTTTTCTTGAATTTTTATAACATTTTCCATCATTCATAGTAGCATTCCTCAATTCAGTTTTCTTTCTCTCAATACTTAATGTCCCTTATCTCACGTTGTAGCTGCAGGAAAGGTATACAGTTCTTGCATGAAATGTTTGCCACTAACAAGCATTGATCGCAAGTTCCTTCTTCCTCTTTTCCTCTCCTTTTCTAAGCTTTACTCTTCTCTCATTCTAAATGTCGTTCTTTTCTTGCTCTCCACTCACTCGACCTCTCAATCTGTCCATTGCGCCAACTGATTTCTTTGTATTTCCTGTCGTTTTCCTTTTCCCACTTTTCTTTCCCTTTATACCACACACTCTAATAGGCGCACTCATAATCACAACATCTTTACGGTCACCTTCTAGGCCTGATCTTTTTATGCGGGGATGATATTGCCGACCTTTAGTTCGTCATCACTATTCCTCTCAAGCTATCTCTGAAATTCCTCTCGCTTTGGACATTGAACCTTCTTCCTGTATTGATGTGGATTATCTATGTGATACAATAAATTTTCTCCAGACATGGTCAAATAATAAGCAGACATACTGGAAGATACATACATTACACACTATTCTGTCTATGAGCCATGCGTATACGAAGAAAAAAGTTAGCAATAAAATAACTCATACTTGTCGCCGATTTTACAAATAGTATCTGTCAAGTACTGGCTACTACGATGAGATAATAAGATTGAGTAGCACCGACAACCTGAAAGTAGTGAAATGATCTTTATTGAAATTTTATTTCGAAATATTAACAATTTACCTTGGTTCAAGCATCGTCTGAAGGGAAATTTGCTAACGTTTTACGCGCCAAGGAGGCATAATAGACAGATGCAATCAAACGATGAACAAATTACGCCGATTGAATTAATGACATCTCTTGAAATATTGATATACTAATGTCAATTTTTCTTTCTTTACGAGAGAATCATTGTCCTTACATAAAATTCGAATCTTCTCACAATTAACATAAATATTTTTACATCCTAATTGGGAAAAGTTGTTCTTTTCTAATCAAGCAAAACCAAGCAAATAAATTATTGTACTAATTAAATATTATACACACACACATATATATATATATATATATATATATATATATATATATATATATATATATATGGGGGGTGCGTATACTTTTTTAAAAGGATATTGTGTGTGTGTCCGTACATGAATTTAAAATATAATTAAATTTATACTAATGAAATTCTTTTGATAATCCTCCATTTTCAAGCATTATTTACTTTATTGCCAATAACAAATATTTCTACATATCAACTAGGAATATATATATATATATATATATATATATATATATATATATATATATATATATATATATATATATATATATATATATATCCTACTGAGATTTCATAATTTTCTGAAGGAATAACATTAGCTTGTGATTATTTTCATAAATGATGAAAATCCCGGGATAATATGTCTTTTTAGAATATGAATGAAATGAGAAATGGAAATCTACTATAATATCCTGAAGAGGATATGTTGTTGTCATCGAGGTTTGATTCAAAATATTCTAGAGAGTGTATTACGAGTTTACACGAAAATATAAAACAATAATTATCTCCGGGTTAATGTAAAACTAAAATTTGTAGACTTCAAACAGTTTTATAGTAGTTATAGTCAATATGGCTACTAAATGTCGTTAAGAGTAACACAAAAAAGAAGAACATGTGTAAAATTATTAGCAGAAAGAAGGTGAAACGAACAAAACAAACTACTCTAAAATATTATTGCTATTTAAAGAAACAGATCTTAAGAATGCTAACAAAGCGAAAATCTTTTAAAGCGTTATTGGAAGTACGTCCTATATTCTATGTTCACTCTAATTTCTGCTCTTTAGTTATAATAAAAGCTATTTTGGTAGTTTGCAAAATTGTGAGCGTCCTACAACTAGCGGGAAGTAAAATGTGTTGACGAGTAAATTATAGATAATCAGGACATGTGACAGTTGTGTATCGACACGAAACATGTATTACTCGCTAAATGACGGCTTCAACATTTCAAGTCTTTGGAACTAATTTCAAATTCTATTTTCAATGTCACGATGGAGAAATCTCAACAAATGCAACAATTTTATGTAAAGTGTGATGATAAAAATGATCATAGAAACATCAGCACTTATCTGCATGAAGCATCATTGATTATTTACCAATATGAAATTAACAAATAGCAACATAACTGTACATGTGCTTGCGAATGAGGATGAATTAGTCTTAAACTCTCGCAAGAAAGAATAGTATGGATTATCAAATCGAACATGAAGATTGCGAGTGTGATTAGTTATTTAAATCGTTACGTTCTAAAATAATTTGCAAGAATATGAGTGAAAACCAAGAGGGTACTTGTAATTATTTTTATCTTTGAATTTGATTCTTATTAAGGCCTTTTACCTACATCCCAAATTGTGAGTCAACGTAATCATTGAAGTATTTTTGCTTTGTTAATACGTTCGAATCTCGTAGGGGTTAAATATTTGTTCATCTGATATCTCTGAGGTTGAAACAAACATTTTCCCGCACACACACACACACACACACACACACACACACACACACACACACACACATATATATATATATATATATATATATATATATATAGGGTGTTTGAAAAATACTTTTACAAACTTTAAGGCCGGATTCGTCACGCCAAAACAAGGAAAAATTTTAATATAAAGTTATGTCTAAATGAAATACAGCAACTCATGACAAATGTTAAAAATAACCTCCGCTTGCTTCTACAGACCCATCATTGAATGGCGGACCCTTTCATATATTCTCTGTGATATACGACATGCTAGGTTCGCTTGATATATGCTGATACGTGGATCGTCTCAGACAGCCTGTATAATGTGTTCTTCGTAGTCAGGCGTACGAACCATAATTTGTGGTGCCACTCATCCTATCTCAGGAATGTGACGATAAACAGCAGCAAATGTTGGATAATTCGGCTGTCTTCGGTCTGGAAACGCAATCTGATACAGACGTGCAGCCTCGCGTCTATTACCATTCTCGCATCCGTATGTAAAATCATGTCTGCCTGCTCACGATATGAATAACCTGCCATTCTTAAACGGGACTATTCTCAGTTTACTCACTACTACACCGTTAAACGTTGAAGACAGATTAGCCTCAATTGTAAACGAATGTCAAATGTAAACTAGGCTACATGGCAGCGCAGTGCCATCTGTCGCAAAATTTCTTTAAATTTAATAGCTAAAAAAGAAGGATTTATATTGATTTTTGTTCTTGTTTTGGCTTAAATAACCAACCCCCAAATTTTGCAAAAGTACTTTCGATAAACCCTGTATATAGCCATCCGGATACATTTGTATAAAGCATCATTGTAACATTTATAAATGCCTTGCATTGTAAGTCCGCCATAGCCGTATTTTATGACGTATCCTCATCTCATATCTCTAAAATTAATGAAAATGCATTAGGTCACGACCTAACTCATAAAAATACCCTTTTACAAGAAAACCACATGATGAATTGAAACTGCAAGAATTAAATATCTGTTGATTAGTTTTCTAAAAAAATATAAATATCTGCTCCAAGGTAGGCAAGTTTTACTAAATTTGACTATTACACTAAGGCTTTTGTTTTAGAGAATTTATATTAATAACTTAATGAATAGGTTATAATACTAAGTGAAACATTTTTATTTATTATACCTGATAGTTGACTATATATTGTCATTATTATTATTATTATTATTATTATTATTATTATTATTAAGAGAACAAAAGCATTCAAATTGTTATTGTATAAAACTGAATATTTAAGAGATAGGTGTTTCCAACTAACGGAAATAGACAAAGTACAAAAAAGAATTTCTGACAAGCATTTCTCTCTCCAGATTTAAGAACGCCCTACGCTGTTGAGCTATCAATCTATTTGTTTTGGGAAACAATGTGATAGTATTATAAACTTCTTGAAATTCCGATTCGATAACATAGCCATTGCACTCGTTTACAAACAAAACAATGTATTAATTTTGTTCAAGGATGGTTGAATGGATGTTGTATACCCGTTGTCATTCATATTGTGCGAAACTTCATTAAATCTATTCTTTATAAAATTATTTTCGGTTTGTTTTGTGGTAATCCTATAAATTTTAAATTCAGTCCAATTATGATTTTGTAACACACTTGCTTTTAACTTAAAGGCTGACTATATAAATCTAAAGTCATTATTATGGTAAGTATATTAATGAAATACTCCAAAACATGGGACAAAATATATAGGCTTTAACAAACTGGACATGATTAAATAAAATTAGAGCAGAAATATTATAATTACAAAAAATGAACACAATAACTTTTATATATTCAGTGGATTTCTCTGTTATTCATATAATCTGTTGATTTATTCCCCGTTCATTTTGTTTGATGCAGACGATCGACTTCTTTTCTAAGTATAAAATAAATCTAGTAAAATGTATCCGTGTATTTTCCAATTATTAGGAATTGTTCAAGTCATTAAATGGTTCCTTTTGAAGACGCACCTATATTTCTAATTGACTTTCTGCCTCATGTTTCTAGGGAGGCTTTTTTATTCTTCCGCCTCGGGAAAGCTAGAAATTTAAAGTTCCAGCTCAAAACATTTATTAAAAGACAATGTGTTCATCGTATATGAATTTGTAAACAAATGTATCAAAATGAATTTGGTATATATGACAACGGATTTTTCAAGCAAACGTTTTTATTCAGTCCGTCATATCACTTGAGCTGAATTTACATAACCCAAAAATGATTTGAAAAAAATATTTATTTTCAATCCCCTAAAAGCAATGAAGAATATTATGAACAACAAGCAAGAATCAGGTAACAAATTTATCTCCAGGTGAAGGTAGACAAATGGCAGATTTTTGTACCTGTAACCTGAGTGTAATCAAAGGATTGAAATCGGTGGGGAGCTTCAGACACAATAAAATATAGGTTTAGATTTTAAATGAGCTTTGTATACATTGCATTTCATGAGCA